AGAAGAAGAAGAAGAAGAAGAAGAAGAAGAAGAAGAAGAAGAAGAAGGGAAATAGAGAGAGGAGATCAAAGAGAAACCCAGAGAGCTAAACTACAAACATGGCGGTTTGCTTAGTTTTTTTTTTTTTAATAATTGCTTATTTATTTATCTTTTTATCGTCTGTAACCTTCCTATCCTATCGGGGAGACGGACGGCATGTCAATTTAATAAAACTAATAAATAGTGGTAGTCTTTTACTTATGACCATAACCGAAGCCAAAATTCCTGTTGCTAAGCGAGATCAGTGAATTTTGGCCCATTGTAACACCTTTCCTTGCCACGTCCCTGTTAGGAATATAAGTCACCTAACAGATATTTGGGTTAGAAGTATATAAACCAGGATAAACATTTTAGTACTATATCTTTAAGGGAATGCAAGAGCATGTAATTGGGTGTGGTTTTTCAAACAGCCATAAGATGGAGCCAGAAACCTGGGTTGTTTAGTCTTAGTCTCAGAAGAGAGTGTGTCTGAGTGAGTATCTCTGTTTCCTTCTGTTGGAAAGTATTGCCCTTGCTCCATTTCTTCTAATTGACTGATATTACTGGATTTAATGTAAGTCTGATACTGAACTGTTTTTGACACTAGACTTTGATAGTTGGATTATCCCTGGATTGAAAAACTGACTGATTTACCTGTGAATGACTTTGGATTGCTTATTTTGGACTTTGCTTAAACCTTTCTGGAAGTAAAAACCTACATTTACTGTACAGTGTATCTGTGTGCTCTGTGTGTATTATTCCAACACTACTCTCTATACGTCTCCCTGTATGCGCTCATTCTCCTAATGGAGAATTACCTCAACACTGGTTATGGGCCCAGACCATACTAGGCTGAGATAACTGAGAGTTAGTGTGAATGCACAGTACTGTATACAGACAGCTGTTTACTGTTTAATTCTGGTTTACTATCCTGGTAAAGATGGCACAAGTCACTTCAACATGTCTATCAGTGATAACCCGGTTGGATGGAACAAACTATGTTTCCTGGTCTATGAAATGCAGTCTACTTCTGCATAAAAAAGGTTTATGGAATGTAGTTCAAGACCCACCAGATGTAAATGTTTGGGATCCAAATAATGAGGATGATGCCAAGAAGCTTGCTGACTTTAACCAGAACAACGAACGAGCTCTTTGTATAACTGGACTAACACTGAGTGACCAGCAGCTAGTCCATATTCATGGAGAAGAGTCTGCTGCTAGGTATTGGGAGAATTTGAAGAGGATTTATGTTAGTGACAGTATAGGTGCACACATACATCTTACAGGTAAACTGTTTAGAGCACATCTTCTGAAAGGTGGAGATATGTTAGCTCATTTAAACTTCATGAAAAGAACTTTTCAAGAGCTACATGAAAAAGAACTGATATTTTCAGAGCTGCATCAAGTTTATATCATTCTTTCCTCATTGGATGAAAGTTATGATGACTATGTATCTTCACTGGAAGTCCTGCCCAGAGATAAACTGACATTGACTGAAATAACTGGAAGGTTGTTAGAAGAAGCAGGAAGACGACTGGATAGGGACCAACTGAGGAAGGAACAACCACAAGAAGAGGATTTATCTTCAACTGCCTATAATGTTAGGAAATGTTTTTCTTGTGGGGCTAGGGGACATATAGCTAAATTCTGTAAGAAAGGAAAAGGACAGAATACTAGCAAACACCAAAAAGCTAAGAAGAATGTTAGTTTGGCTATGTCTAGCAATTCAACTGTAAACAATGATTTGTGGGTTGTTGATAGTGGAGCATTGCAATGCATTACTAAGGATAGAAACAGGTTTGTAAAGATGTCCACAAGTAAACAACATGTATCATTGGCAAATGGATGGAAGATTAACGCATCAGGTGAAGGTACTGCATATTGTTCTAGTATAAACGAACATTTAACTATGTTATATGTACCTAAACTGAAATTTAATTTGTTATCAGTAAGGGCTTTAGTTAATATTGGTTATGTAGTAACCTTTAGGGGAGATAACTCTATAATAGAGAAAGAGGGTAAAAGTGTTACTGCTATATTAGAGAATGATTTATATGTGATACATGATGATCAGTTGAAGATGGCTAACTCAGTTTATAATAATGTTAACATTTACTACATAGACGTCTAGGGCACATTAACTTCTAGGGCACATTTACTACATAGACATCTAGGGCACATTTTTAACAATACAACAACTGGTGAATTGCCAATCACTCGTTGGCATGGCAGAAAACCAAATTTAAGTTACCTACACACATTTGGAGCTCCAGCATGGGTGCATATTCCCTCACAAGTAAGACTGAAAGGGCAACATAGAGCTAAGAAATTATTTTTTGTAGGTTATGAGGCCAACCATAGATCATTTAGATTCTGGGATCGAGGCACAGCTCATGCTTATTGTAGTGCTAGTGCAAAATTTCTAGAGCACATTGGGTGGGATAAACGGGAACGGGAATCCAGCAATGATATTATAAATATTATTTTTATATTTAAATTATATAAATTAATATTTAAATTAATATATTTTATATTTAAATTATTATTGACACCCAAATAGTCCCTAAAGATAAAATCAGTAAACCCCAAATAGCCATTAAAGAGGAAGAACAGGAGGAAGTAGGAGGACAGGCACAGGAAGAAATAGAAGAACAGGAGCAGGTGGCACAGGAAAGTCCACCAGTAAGCCCTGTATTACCAAGACGTTCAACCCAGTAACACGACCACCTGATAGATATCAGGCTAGTGTTGTATGCCAAGTGAATACAGTTCCAAGTAATTATAGTGAACTAAAACTGTATCCTGCTAAGGATCAGGCTGCTTGGCAGAAAGCAATGGATAAGGAACTGGGATCTTTAAAAACACTGGAGGTATATGAAAACGTTAAGTTACCACCAGATAAACATGCTATAGGATGCAAATGGATATATAAACTGAAGACAGGTGTAGATGGGACTGTTACCCATAAAGCCAGGTTAGTAGCACAAGGGTTCAATCAGACAGCAAATGACTATGATGAGGTAGGTGTTTGCACCTAGTCTGAAGGCTACTACATTAAGGGCAGCATTAGTGTGGGCAGCTACGGAGAAATACATTGTAAATCATTTGGATGTAGAGACAGCATATCTGCATGCACCATTGCAACACACTATATATTTAAAGAAACCTTTAGGTCTCAAAAATGATAATACTGATAATAATGATTGCTGGAAATTGAAAAAGAGTCTTTATGGTTTGAAGCAATCAGGATATGAGTGGAACCAATGTATAGTTAAAGAATTAACTAAAATAGGCTTTGTAGCTGGCATGGCTGATCCATGTTTGTTTAAAAGAGAAAGTAATGGTGTAATGTCATTATTGTTATTATTTACTGATGACATAGCATTAATCACCAAAACTGAACAAGAAGCTACTGAGATAATGTCACTATTGGAAAA